CCAAAACCCCAAAACCCCAAAACCCCAAAACCCCTTTCATAATGTAGAACATTGAAGGTATTACAAATAGTAAAGTATTTCTGGAAAATTGCCTATTAAAACATTCGTCCAATTTCAACTTTGACTCTTAGTTTCAACAACAAATAAGCCCATGTGCTCGTTCTCGATTTCTGTGTAATTATAACCTCCCTTTCCGCTGTAAATATAAACATAATCATTAAAGCTGTCGAAGTCTTTGGCTGTCCAGCCTGTAATTTCTATCTTCTGGCCTGCTTTGACTGGATACAATGAGTCTAAATTTAGTCTTATTACTTACTAAGTCTGTGTCTTCAGTAGTACTTGTCTTCAAAGTCTGTGGCTATTTTCTCTTCCTTTTCCACTGTGACTCCATCGATGTTGATTTGGTACTTGAAAGAATACTCTGTAGTATCTCTGGCTGCGAAAGATGTAAACCCACAGAGCTTGATATCCTGTTGAGGGATGAATATAATAGCATCATGATAGTTCAGGTTCATGTACCATTCAGAATCATAGGATCCTTCAGGAAATCTTGAAAACTTGCTTGGCTCACCAAACCCTTCAGTTGCAAAGATAGTATCTCCTTGATTGATAGTGTCTATGGTTGCAATGCTCGTACCTTTATCAATTTCTTTCCCATTGAAAAAGAACTTGTAGGTTCTAATTCTCTGTCCTACATCTTCAAATGGCTTCTCTAATGCTACTTCAAGTTTTTCATATATCTTGGGGCTAACTTCAAGAATAATGTTGTCTTTAAAAGCAGAGCTGATGATAACTGATATTTCTAAAAAGTTCTTGTATTGATCAAACTCTTCTTGTGTGGATAGCTCAATGATTTCTACTCCGTCTCTCTCGACCAAGCTCACCCAGGTAGGGTTCGAGTGTTCATCTGTAATCAAGTCTAGCACTCTAAACCACTTGTCCTTTATGATATTGTAAACTAGTTTATCAATATTGAACACTGGAGAAGCTGCTGCTTTAAGAGTTCTAAAGACATCACTCTCTGATAGGGATAATATATTATTCCTGCCGCAATCCAAATAGCTGGTACTATTGTTCTTGAGTTTGTCTCCAGTTTCTTCTTTTATAGAGCAAGTTACATTAGTAAAGGGGAAGTACTGACCATCAGAAGTATCTCTCCACATATGGGCGTGATAACGAGTGTATTTCTCTGCTATATCAGACGATTCCATCTTAAGATTTGACAAGGATTTTTTAATTTTAGTTTTAAAATTTGCCACTTTAGTATTGGTTTTCAACCTTAATCGTTCCAATGGGGTTTTGGGGTTTTGGGGTTTTGGGGTTTTGGGGTTTTGGGGTTTTGGGGTTTTGGG